AGCCAAAATAGTAAAAAAACAGATCATCACAGAAACTATACAATTATCTAAAATAAAACGAAAATCAGAGCGCTGCAATATACTAAATGTCCTCTAACAACTTCTCAACAGAAAAATATGTTGCCAAGAATTAGGGGGGAATTCAGTTAATTCAGAATTTAAAAACTATGTAATGAATCTGTTACAGATGATCCCCAACTGGAAATGGTTCAACTTACAATGTTTCACCTTTACAATGGTATAAAATCAATACACACTTAGTAAAAACCATACTTTGAATTTTCAATTTTGATAATTTCCCAGGCTAACGATATCCATGTTAGTGTTCCGAACATCTCTAAGGCAGGGTAGGCTAAGCTACGGTGTTTGGTAGGAAGGTTAGGTGTACTACACGCATCGTTGACTTATGATATTGGTTACAATGAGTTTCTTAGGACATAGCCCCATCATAAGTCAAGGAGCATCTATACATCATCAATAAGAAAGAATTCACATGAGGAATATAAGATGATGAGATAGCAGAAGGGATCAAAAATATAGAAATAAAGTACATATATTCATTCAGGCACCTATATGAAGTGTTTCCATATTTGGACTGATTTTCTGAATCAAAAAGGAATTAAATAAAATCATACTATCTTTGGTCTCCCACTAAGTATTTGTCATGACATCGGGTAAATTTTAAACATTTATGGACCACAGATTTACTCTTTGAAACAATGAATGCAAAATAGATCATATCTCTGAAACTACCCAGATTACTATGATCCCCCAAAATTTATAATGAGAGGTCTAGAGTTTACTTACGTTCGCCTTGCACAAAGTCATCCAAGAATTCATCAAAATGTTTTGGCTGCTTCTGTCTCAATTCTCCTTTTAATAAATGATACCAAGAGGTAACAATATCTCTTGGATTCCTTATGATATAAATGATCTAAAAGATACAAGAAGTTTATGAAAGTGCAGTATGAATATTTATCTCTGTCTGCTCTTCTGAGTGATCCACATTTCCTCACATCCCAAACCCAAACTGCTTATCTGTTCAAACACAGCTGGTATTATTCAACAGAAATATTCACTCTCAAACCATTACTCTTTTAATACAAGCTGCCTTCCCTTTCCACTCTCCCGTTAAAGAATGCTAAATTTATCTTAACCTTGTCCAAGTTTAATAATTAGTTGGTAATAGCTGTCCTGTCCCACTACATTAAGAAAAATCTAGAATTGTCCTCTGAGTTCACAGAGCGAATGCTATGATCAGTTAATTATGACTGCCATGGATGTGGGGGCAAGGGACACTGGCGTATGAGCCATGGACTTGGATTACTTCCTTAGATGCACCATCTCATCAAAGGAGAGAACATTCCCCTGAGATCCCTTCAAAAGGACCCACATCCACGCACCTTGGCATTGGAGGTAAAGTAGGACTTGGGGAATAATTGTACGGGGAGATGTGACGTCATGAGGCGTGATCCATCTTGTTTCTTTATGTTTTCCTGAAAATGATTATCCTCTATCCATGGGGACCTGACATAATTTGGGACACTTTGGACCAAGCTAGGGTCCCCATTGTAGTAGATCAGACAGAGAATTTCAATCATCCAGTGTGTTCCTAGTAGTAAAGTAAAAGAGAGAATCACAATATTAATATGATGCATTAACATTATGAAGATGTTTTACACATTGAGGGCCCAGAGTTCTTCAATCACTTGTGGGCCCTATAATCTTGACTATCAATTCTACAGTCTCTGTTCCCATTCCCTTGTCACTTTGTACCCTCTTCCCCAGGAGATATTCCCATGAAAATGATGGCTGCCCGCTTCCTTTCACGCTGTCGCTGCGCT